CCTGATTAACTGAACATTTTCAAAGTGTTTTAGTTACCCCATCCTTGATTATAGGCTTCAACAATTACCCCACCACAGATATTACGTTAACTGGTCTGTAATTCCATGATTTCTCTTTTTTGTCCTTCTATCAGAGAGTACAAACACAACAGGTTGAATGGTCTCCTATGATGTAAACATTTTGTGATTCCACAATGAATATATTTTTAACAATATCTTGATATTAGTTTGGATGTGAGTTTATTACATTGTGTGAGATTTATATTCTATATTATTTAACTCCAGTATGAACACAGCAGCGACTGGTGCAGACGATGCCTTTGACTTCCTCTTCAAGATTGTACTGATCGGAGATTCCAATATTGGCAAAACGTGTGTGGTCCATCGTTTCAAAACAGGACTATTCATTGAGAAACAACAGAATACCATTGGAGTCGACTTCATCGTAAAAACATTGGATATTGAGGGCAAGAGAGTAAAGGTGACAACACCCACTGGAATACACCTTCCTTCACTGCTCCTGCGTCCTGCTTACCCTCATCCCTTCCCTGCCCCTCACACACTTCTGTCCCCACACATGCCCCTCCCTTCGCTACAGTTTCTCCTTACCCCTCTCTCACACCCATTTCCACCCCCAGCCACCCTCTCAATCCCCTTCCCTTATACCTTGCACACATTCCTGTCTCTCTTGCATCTCTCTCTCTCCCACACATTCCTCCTTGGTCCTCTCCAACTCCTGTCCTCCCCCACAGCTCCCTCTCCCTCTTGTTCACCCTGCTCCCCTCTCTCCCGTCCTATTACCTCTGCCTCTCTCTCTCTCCCTCATGTTCTCTCTTGCCCCTTTCTACCTCCTTTTCCCCTCTCAAAATTCAGTGAGGTTTGTCATGAATCTGGGCTGGCTCTCCCTGAATAACTGAACATTTTCAAAGTGTTTTAGTTACTCCATCCTTGGTTATAGGCTTCAACAACTCCCCCCATCAGATATGAGGGTAACTGGTCTGCAATTCCCTGCTTTTTCTCTTTGCCCGTCTCACCCACTCTTCCCTCTGCCACTTTTATGCCTGACCCTCTTTCCCTCCATCCCCTTTATACCTCCTCCCCATTCTCCTTGCCCCGTTCTCACTACTGTTCATGGACACTCCTTCTCACACCTCACCCATACCTATCTCTCAAACCCTTCTCTCTCTCTCTCTCCCCGCCAACCTCAAACACTCTCTCTCCCCTCAGCCCTATCTCTGTCTTTCCCTCCCATCCCCCTTTTCTCCTTCCTTCCCATTGACACCTGCCTCTGTCTCTCTCTCTCTCTCTCTCCCCCCTTTCTCCCTGCACCTCTCTCCTTTCCTAAGCCCCATGTCCCTCTCTCTCACTTCCTTCTCCTTCCCATCCCTACTGCATGTCTCCCCATACTCCTCTCTCTCCCCCTCCTATCCCCCACCCCTCTCTCCCTCCTAGACTCCACCCCTCTCTGCCTCCCTGCCCCATGGCCTTCTCATCCTCCCAGCCACCATCCTGTCTCCCCTGCCTGTGTCGAACTCCCATACCTCCTGCCCCCTTTCTCCCTCCCTACCCACTTGCCCTCCTCACCCACCCTTCCCCACCCCATTCTCATTGCCTACCCCTGACCCTCTTTCCGCCCCCACACCTCTCTCATTCTCATTTTCCCCCAGACCCTCATCTCATTCCCCTTCTCTCATGCTTCTCACTCCCGTTTCCTGCCCCTCCCTCACCTCACTCACTCACTCCTGTCACCCCTATCTCTCTCTCCTCCCCCTTTCTTTCCCCCCTACACTCTCCAGTCTACACTGCCCTCATTCTCTCTCCAGTTACCTCACATTCTTCTCTTCTTCACATTCTCCTTTGTCCCTCTCTCACTCCTGCTCCCCAAATGTCCCTCTCTCCCTCCCCCCCCCCCCCAGTCCCTCTTCCCCCCTTTCCCTTTGCCTCTCTCTCATTCCTAGCCCTGTCTCCCACCCCTATTGTTCCAGCCTGCCTCCCATTTCTATTTTCCCCAGACCTCCCTCTCATTCCCTTTCCCTTGTGCCCCTCTTCCTCCTTCCCCACTGTCCCATCTTCATCCCTACCCCAGTGCCTTGTCTTCCTCCTGTCCCCTCTGTCCCCTCTCCATCCTGTTCTCTCTACCCCTTTCTCACTCCCATTTCTCCCCCACTTATCTCTCAATCTGCTTCCCTTATGCCCTTCCCCCTTCCGTCCCTCTACCTCATAGAAACATAGAACATAGAACAGTACAGGCCCTTCGGCCCAAGATGTTGTGCCGAACTTTTACCCTAAACCTAAGGTCTATCTAACCTCCACCGCTACCTTATACTATCATCCATATGCCTATCTAATAGCCGCTTAAATGCCCCTAATGAGGCCGACTCCACTGCCCTCTCCGGCAATGCATTCCACGCCCCTGCCACTCTCTGAATAAAGAACCTACCTCTGACGTCTCCCCGATATCTACCTCCTTTCACTTTAAAACTATGTCCCCTCGTAAAAGCTACCTCCACCCTAGGAAAAAGTCTCTGGCTGTCTACTCTATCTATACCTCTGATCATTTTGTACACCTCTATCAAGTCACTTCTCATCCTTCGTCATTCTAAAGAGAAAAGCCCTAGCTCTCTCAACCTTTCCTCATAAGCTCTTACCTCCATTCGAGGCAACATCCTGGTAAATCTCCTCTGCACCTTTTCTAACGCTTCCACATCTTTCCTGTAATGAGGTGACCAGAACTGGACACAATACTCCAGATGTGGCCAAACCAACCTCCTCTTCTCCTTCCCTCATGCCTCTCTCTCTTCCTTCCTGACCCTCTGTCTTTCCTGTTTCCCTTGCCAATCTCTCTGTCCTATTCACCCCTACTCCTCTCACTTTTATTTCCCCACTACTTCACTTTCCTTCCCTTGCGCCACTCCCTCACCCCGTCCCCGTCCCCCACCCATGCCTGTCCTTCCCTCATGCCTTTCTCTCCCTTCCATCATATGTATGTGTGTCTGTGTCTGTCTGTGTGTGCGTGTCTGTCTGTGTGTGCGTGTCTGTCTGTGTGTGCGTGTCTGTCTGGGTGTGCGTGTCTGCCTGGGGATGTGTCTGCATCTCTCTGTGTGTCTGTCTCTGTCTATGTGAGAGTTTCTATGTGCATGCGTGTGTGTGTGTGAGACTGTACGTGTGTGTGTGTGTGTGACTGTACATGTGTGTGTGTATGATTGTATGCACACGTGTGTATGTGACTGTACGTGTGTGCATGTATATGTGCGTGTGTGACTGCACGTGTGTGTGTTTGTGTGCGTGTGAGAGACTGAACATGAGTATGTCTTTGTCTATCTGTGTGTGTGCGTGTGTCTATCTGTGTGTGTGTATCTATATCTGTGTGTTGGTGGGATACACAGTTCCTGGGGACAGTGAGACTTTATGCTGGTGTGTTTGTGCTGTGAAGGTGCAGGTATGGGACACAGCTGGACAGGAGCGATTTCGGACCATCACACAGAGTTACTACCGCAGTGCACACGGAGCCATGATTGCCTATGACATCACCAAGCAATCCTCCTTCAACTCGGTGCCACACTGGGTAAACGAGATCCAGAAATATGGTGCTGCAAACGTCGTCCAGATGTTAATCGGTAGGTCTCAACTGGTTGCTTTGTCAGACCCTATGTGTGATCAGGAAATCAAGTTTGAAAATCCCCAATGCAAGGCAATTAATCTGAAACATTCTTTCTGTTCGCTCTCCACAGATGCTGCCAGATCTGCTCAGTATTTTCAGTGTTTTACTTTGATTTGCAAATCTCTTGTCTGCAAATGCCCACTTACCAGCTGAGCTCACAAGCCACCAGTCAGTAAACAGGGACTGCAGATCAGCAAGGGGCATACCCAGAGGTTAATCACCGGTTAGTGATCAGTGCGGGGCAGGAGTCACTGATTTGAAGCACAGGTCAATACCCTGCATTTCTCACCAATCCCACCCCTCCAATCCTGTGTATATCTGGGATTGATCTGTTAATGATGGACAGTAGTAAAGACACTGGGTCCAAAAGAGATGTATCCAGTGCTGTTGAGGGAAATACAAATGGATATTGCAGATTCTCTGATACAATAATGTGACCTCTTCATTCACTGATGACCTAGGCTGACTATTTACATCTTAGGTATTACCTGTTTGCACTCCGCATTCATCTCTGACTCACACCAGTGATGTGGTTTCACCAATCTCCGTGATCTCGTCCTCCACTTTCTCAGAGAGGGAGAAGATTTCTGTTCTTAACCTTTTGTTTGAACTCGATGAAATAGTTCAATTTGAGACATTCAAGAAGACTGGCTTGTGATTTGAATGGTGGTCTTTGGTGCTAACAGCTGTCATCGCTCTTCACTCAGCCTGATTTCAGGAACTCCTTCTGTTTCCTGCTGTTGTCAGGGCTCAACCCCCCTCTCTCTCCCCATCAATCCCTATTGATAAACATTATATTGGGGGCTGGTCATCTCTGCTGTGTCAATGCTCTTATCTAAAACCTCTTGGCCAACAACTATGGAACAATTACTCATGATGCAGGATGACCCTTACGCCTTCTATCTGAGGGTTAGTTTACCGTTCCTACTAAGAGCTAATAATTATTTACAAAAACATCACGTTCATAAAGGGTGCATTTTGCGCCAGATAAATCGTTGACATTTGTTCAATGTTACCTCTGTTTTATTTTATTTTCACATGCTAGAATTTCAGCAAGTTCATAACTTTGATAGCCGTTGAAGTAACCATTAGGAAATTCCAGTTTTTAAGGGAATTCAACGGTATCACCATTGTTACATCCCTTACCATAATTGAAAAACTGAACTCAAACAGCCATATAAATACTGTAACTAACAGGGTAGGTCAGAGGCGGGGAATCCTGCAGTGAAAAACTCATCTCCTGACTCCCAAAGCCTGTCCACCATCTACAAGGTTAAAGTCAGGACTGTAAATCCCCACTCGCCTGGATGAGTGTAGCTCCAACAACATTCAAGAAGCTTGACACCATCCAGGACAAAGCAGCTCGCTTGATTAGCACCATATCCACACCTTCATCATTCACTCCCTCTACCACTGATGTGCATATCCGTAATCCCCACTATAGGAGGGAATGTAATAGCACTGGAGAGGGTGCAGAGGAGATTTACCAGGATTTTGCCTAGGCTGGAGAGTTTCAATTATGAAGAGAGATTGAACAAACTGGAGTTGTTTTCCTTGGAGTAGAAAAGATTGAAAGGAAACATGATTGAGATGTATAAAATTATGAGGGGGATAGATATGGTAAACAGAACAAAACTTTTTCCCCTTGATGGAGGGATCAATGACCGGGAGGCACAGAATTAAAGTAAAGACAGAAAGTTTAGAGGGTAAGGAGGTAAAAACTTCTTCAGCTATCCCGCCCATCTTGTTGCCAACGCCCACCTACCAGCTGAGCTCAGAAGTCACAAATGGTGGGAATCTAGAACTCAGTGCCTGTAAGGGTAGTAGAGGCAGAAACCCACATAGCATTGAAGAAGCATTAAGAGGAGGTGATGGCCATGGGGTACTAACACTTGACTATTAATCCAGAGATTCAGGTAATGTTCTGGGGAGCTGGGTTTGAATCCCGTCATAGCAGATGATGGAATTTGAATTCAATAAAAATCTACAAGTAAAAAGAAATCTAATAATGACTGTGAAACTGTTGTTGATTGTCGGGAAAAGCCCATTTGGTTCACAAACGTCATTCAGGGAAGGAAGCTTACATCCCTACCTGGTCTGGTGTACGTGTGATTCCAGACCCATAATGGTGTGGTTGAAACATAGAAGACTGGAGCAGCAGTAGGTCATTCAAGACCTCAAGCCTGCTCCACATGATCGTGGCTGATCATCGAGCTCAATACCCTAATCCTACCCTCCCCCCATATCCCTTAATCCCTTTAGCCACCAGAGATGTATCTACCTTCTTATTGAAAACATGCAATGTTATGGCCTCAACCAATTTCTGTGGCAGTGACTTCCACAAGCTCATCATTCTCTGGGAGAAGAAATTTCTCCTCATCTCAGTCCTAATAGATTTAACCCTATCCTTAAATTCCCCTGGAATCAGGAATATCCTTCCTGCATCTAAAGCATCTAGTCCTGCTGGAATTTTTTAGGTTTCTAGGAAATTATCCTCATTCTTCGAAACTCCAGTAAATTCAATCCTAAATGACTCAATCTCTCCTCATACATCAGTCCTGCCATCCCAGAAATCAATTTGGTAAACCTTCGCTGCACTCCCTCTATAGCAAGAACATCCTTCCTCAGATAAGGTGACCAAAACTGCACACAGCGTTCCAGGTGTAGCCTCACCAATGGCCTGTATAATCACAGTATGCCATCCTTGTTTTCCTCTACTCGAATCCTCTTGCTATGAAGGCCAACATATAGGTTGTCTTCTTTACTGCCTGCTACTCCTGTGAGCTTACTTTCAGTGGCTGGTGCACAAGGATACCCAGGTCTTGTTGAACAATCCCCTCTCCAAATTTACAGCCAGTTAAAGAATAATCTGCCTTCCTAATTTTGCTACCAAAGTGGATAAGGTCACATTTATCCATTGATCTGCCATGCATTTGTCCACTCATTCAGCCCGTTCAAAACATTCTGCAATACCTCTGCATCCTCCTCACAACTCACCCTCCCACCTAGCTTTGTGTCATCTGAAAATTTTGGGACATTACATTCAGTTCCCTCATATAAATCATTATTGTGAATGGCTGGGATCCTAGTACCGATCCCTTCTTAATCAATCTCTTGGTCCTCCTTTGCTGACTTCTAAATTGTTCCCAATCCTCAGGGCTATTGCTTTTTCTTGCCAATTTGTATGCCTCTTTTATGCATCTAATACTGTCTCTTGACTTCCTCATAACCCATGGTTTGGCCACCGCTCTCTTTATTTCTGTCTGGCACAAGAGTACAAACAAGTTTTGTAGTTCACCCATTTGGTCTTTGAATGTTTGCCATTGCCTATTTATTATCATTACTTTCAGTAACTTTTCCCAATCCATTATAGCCAACTCACGACTTATACCATCGTAGTTTCCTTTATTGAGATTCAGGACCCTCAGTTTCAGAATCAACTACCCCACTCTTAATGACCCGACTCAACTACCCTCTGTGCAATCAGAAATGGGCAATAAATGCTGGCCCAGCCAGCAACATCCACAACCTGTGAATGAATTTAAAAAAAGATGTGCACCTGCAATGCCAAGTCAGACAAGGCTGTGGGTCAAGTATTTGAAAATGGGATTAAAATAGTCAGGTACTTGTTTTTGATCAGACTTAATAGTCCGAAGGGCCTTTCTCTGTACTATATACGTCTAAATCTCTAAGAGTAGCAGCTATATGTACTATCTACAAGATGTACCACAGCAGCCCACCAAGGCCCATCCGACAGCATCTTCCAAACCCATGACCTCTGACACCTAGAAAGATAGGGGCAGATGTATGGGAACACCATTACTTGCAGGCTTCCCTCACAAACTATCCAGACTTGAACTACATTGCCATTCCATCATTGTCACTGGGTCAATATCCTGGAACTCCCTTCCTAAAAGACTCTTTTGCTAAAGGTATTGTGAGTCTACCTACATCCCAAGTGCTGCAGCAGTTCAAGAAAGTAGTTCACCACCACCTTCTCAAGGGCAACTAGAGATGTCCAATCAGCATTAATGGGTGCATTCTCTGTGGCAATGTCTCTGTCGCAATAAATGACAGCAAAGCCTGCATAATAATGAAAAGAATTTTAAAAACACAGATTTCCAACAACCGGTTTGACGTTCAGGTCTGATTCCAACACTAAAATCAATGCATTAATTTTGTCACTGGTGGGACATCACTTCCTGAAGCAGCTTTAACTCAATTTCTTGTTTCACTTTCTTTAAAAGTGAGTGTGGAACCTTTCTTGGCAGTGAACTAGCCCAACTGGTTTGGCATTTGGTCTCATTGCAATGATCAGCTGTTTCCAACTTTCCAGGGCTTCTGAATAGCTTTGGAAATTCTGACCGGAAAACTTTTGGATTGCCTTGGCTTTCTGTGAATTTTCTTCGTTTGTACTGACATCTCCCAGCCAACTGTCCCTTGTGTTTGAGTTGGACACATTCTGATCCATTGTATGACTGGAGGAAGTCTGATTTTAGCTACTTTGCTGTGCCTGAAAGGTCTCATACCCAATGTCTAACATGAAGTTTATTTTGTGCCATTTATCATAATTTGAGCATTCCAGTTGTATGAATATGAACTGCGAGCAAATTTGAGCCATTGGCCTTTCAAGCCCACTGAACCATTCAATAGGAACGTGGCTTATCTGTTTGTCTTCTGAATTTCACATCCCTGTCTACCCCCTGAAAATCTTAGGCTGGAAGGGCCGAATGGCCTCCTGCTCCTATTTTCTGTGTTTCTATCTACGCCCCTCATAATTTTGTACATTTCAATTACGTTCCTTCTTAATCTCCTCTGCTTTGAACGAAACAACCCCAGTCTGTCCAAGAGATAGTAGGAACTGCAGATGCTGGAGAATCTGAGATAACAAGGTGTAGAGTTGGATGAACACAGCAGGCCAAGCAACATCATTTTCTTCAGAAAATAAGATTTTCTGAAGAAGAGTCTAGGCCCGAAACATCAGCTTTCCTGCTCCTTTGATGCTGCTTGGCCTGCTGTGTTCATCCAGCTCTACACCTTGTTATCCCAGTCTGTCCAATGTCTTTTCATGACTGAAACTCTCCAGCGCAGGCAACATTCTGGTAAATCTCCCAGCAGGACAGCTGGCCTGGGTTTGAGGTGTCCTGTGACATAGGAAAAAGGACAAAATCATCTTCAGTGGTAGGAGTCAGTAACCAGAGGTCTCGGATCACAGTTAATTAGGGAAAGGGTCAGCGGGAGATGAGATTTTTCAAGCAGTCAGTTATGCTGTAGACTGCATGGTCTGACAAAAAGTGCACTGGAACAGATCCAGCAGAAACCATGGGAGGAGAGTTAAATACAGATTTGTTTTCTGTAGCTGTAGGGGAAAGGTAAGGGAGTGACACTATTTGAATCGGTGCCTGTACGCTGAATCTGAGTAACCTCACGTTAAACTGCTTCATTCAGCATGTGTATTTCATCTGGGACTTAGCCTGGTTTCCTTTCTGCCCCCGATTAGGAAATAAAGCTGACCTGAAGGAAAGACGTGAAGTTCCCTTCGAGGAGGCCTGTAACGTGGCCGAGAAATTTGGGCTATTGGCCGTGCTGGAGACGTCAGCCAAAGAAGCGCAGAATGTCAATGAGGCCTTTCTGCTGATGACCCGTGAGCTGCTGGCAAGGAACGGGCTCCACTTGCCCAGTGAGAGCACTCGGAGTACTCTGCATTTAGACTCCCGGCCGCTCAACACCACCGTGCCCACTGAGAGAAGCTCCTGCTCCTGTTCCCCACGGTGAGCAGCGCAGACAATTTCACCTGGGAGCCCAGTTTGGATTCTGTAGGATTACAGTCTCTGGAATTATTGGCTCCATCTGCTGGAGCACGCTGAAGCCAACAGTGCTCGGCTGATGGTTGGGATTACAAATAAAACTTGAGCTACAGTAACACCAGAAGATTGTTCCTTCGATATCTGGTCAGCTATCTCTTCAAGACTATGCATCCGATTAAAACCTATGTCATTTCATGGAGCTTTACTGAAAAGCATTTGAAAAGTTAGGTGCAAGTCTTAAGGGAGCAGCTCACATTCCCATGAGACAACCAGCAAAATTAGTTCCACTAGACATGTATGTGACTCAGGAATCAGGGTGATAGGTGGGGCATAACTTCAAATAAAGTCATGTTCCCAAATTGGAGGCTCTTGCTTGTTTCCTTCTTGCATCCATGCTGCTGGAAATGCAAAGTTGACGATTCTCTGAGGTACATGCACAGCAAATTTTGGTATAGCTCCTCGCACAGAGTGACACTCCCTCAGCACTAACCCTCCGACAGTGCGGTGCTCCCTCAGCACTGACCCTCCAATAGGAGGGTCACATGTTCAGCACTGACCATCTGATAGTTGGCACTCCCTCAGCACTTACCTTCTGACAGTGCGGGGCTTTCTCATCACTGACCCTCTGATAGTGCAACCTTCCTCCAGCACTGACCCTCGGACAGTGTAACATTCCTTCAGTACTGATCCTCTGACAGTGCAACATTCCTTCAGTACTGACCCTCTGACAGTGCAACATTCCCTCAGCACTGACCATCTATGGGGCTTTCTCACTACTGATCCTCCAACAGTGCGGCTCTCCCTCAGCACTGACCCTCCGACAGTGCAGCACTCCCTCAGCAATGTTCTTCTGACAGTATAGGGCTCTCAGCACTGATCCTCTGACAGTGCAATGTTCCCTCACTACTAACTGTCTTACAGTTTAGTACCTATTTTTCTGTGACCCTCTGACAACAGCAAAGATAATAAGCCAATAGTATTGTTGATAGCCTATTAACCCTGATACCCAAGTAAAGGTCTTGGGACCTGTGTTCTGATCCTACCATGGCAGATGGTAGAATTTTAATTCAACTGTAATCTGGAATTAAAAGTCTAATGTTTGTTTTTCTCCAACAATCTGATTTACAAATGTCCTTTAATCTTTAACTGGTCTGACCTGCATACATCCTTAATAAGAATATTATTAAGCTGAAGAGGGTTTAGAAGAGATTTACCAGGATGTTGCCGGGAATGGAGGGTTTGGGTTATAAGGAGAGGCTGGATAAGTCAGGATTTTTTTCACTGGCGCACAGGAGGTTGAGAGATGACCTTATAGAGATTTATAAAATAATGAAGGGTATGGATAAGGTGAATGGCAGATGTTTTTTCCCTAGGATGGGGGATTTCAAGACTAGGGGGCATATTTTTAAGGTGAGAGGAGAAAGATTTAAAAAGGACTTGGGTGCAATTTTTTACAGAGTCTGGTTTGTATGTAGAATGAACTTCCAGAGGAAGTGGTGGACATGGATACAGTTACAACGTTTAAAAGACATTTAGATGAAAATGATTAAGAAATGTTTAGAGGGATATAGGCCAAGCACAGGAAGGTGGGACTAGTTTAGTTTGGGATTATAGTCTGGTTGGACCCAAAGAGTCTGTTTCCATGCAGTATGACTCTATAACTTACCCGCCACTAACATCAGGCTCACCTGGCTTTTGGCACCACATTAGTCACCCTCCAGTCTGCCGGCACCTCACCTATGGCTAGATGATACAAATATCTCAGCAAGGGGCCCAGCAATCTCTTCTCAAACTTCCCATAAAGTTCTGGGATACACCTGATCAGTTCCCAGGGATTTATCCATCTTTATGTGTTTTAAGACTCTCAGCACCTTCTCTTCTGTAATATGGAAACTTTTCAGGATATGACAATTTTTCCAAGTTCTCTAACTTACATATCCTTCTCCACAGTAAATACTGATGCGAAATACTCATTTAGTATCTCACCCATCTCCTGTGGTTCTACACATGGATAGCCTCGTTGACCTTTAACGGGCCCTATTCTCTGCCTTGTTACTCTTTTGTCCTTAATCTATTTGTGGAATCTCTTTGGATTCTCCTTAACCTTTTTTGCTCTCCTGATTTCACACTTGAGTACATTCCTACTGCCTTTATACTCCTCCAGGGATTCACTCAATCCCAGCTATCTATACCTGACATATCCCTCCTTCTTTTTCATGACCAGAGCCTCAATTTCTCTGGTCTTCCAGCATTCCCTATACCTACCAGTCTTGCTTCTCGCACTAATAGGAGCACACTGTCTCTGAACTCTTGTTATTTCCTTCTAAAAGGCCTCCCACTTGCCAGCTGTCCCTTTATCTGCGAATATCCGGCCAATCAACTCTTGAAAGTTCTTGCCTAATACTGTCAAAATTGGCCTTACTCCAATTCAGAACTTTAACTTTTAGCACACATTATAACATGGGAGGTTGTCTTACCTGTTCCAAATGAGGTTTCCCTCAAAGTTAATGCTGACATGAAACAAGATTCTGAACCAAATTTTCCCAATCATTGGAAAGAGTTTGAAATGCCCTCTCCTGCAGTAGAATGGGCCAAGTCGGAGTTGCTGCTTGGGGTTCACTACCCATCTCATTATCCCAGAACTCTGATAGGGCTGAAGGCAGGAATTAGGTTCCACCAATCACATTTAAATCTCCCCACCTCCATCTCAACATTTACAGAGGAATGAGAATCTAACCCTTTGCTTCATTTTAGAAAGCTATGGATGTAGTATGTTTCTTACATCTTGATCAACTTGTTCTGCCTCTTTTCAAGGTTTGTGTATTTATGCACCCATGTTGCTCTGATCCTGCACCCTTTCAAATTCAGACCAAATAAATAAACATGTCTCCATGCATCCTTAGTCCTGAAATGCATTATATCACAGTTCTCAGCATTAAACTCCAACTGCCCATTTTACAAGTGTATCCATGGCCTCCTAAATGACCTCTACATTCACTGCAGCTCTGAGGTCTGCATGACAAAAACAGGTTTTTGAAATGTTTGTTCTTCTGTCCTGCAGATCAAAGTCCATACCTTATCAAATCATAATGGCCCTTCTGTCTGCCTACGCTTTCCTGATTGCTCACTGGGCTGGCCCAATGGGTGGAGTCAGCACATAGTAACTAGGTGAGCTCTTGTTCAAAGGTTTTCTCTCTCTCTCTCACACACACACACACTCTCATTTACACAGAGCACTTAAAGAGTGCAGTATAAAATCAAAAGTCAAATGTAATAAGTATAATGAAGAGTTTAAATGGAGACCCGGTGAATAAGGTTTGGAAACAATTTATTTCCCACAGCATCCCTACAGTGTGGAAGCAGACCCTTCAGCCCAACAAGTCCACGCCGACCCTGGAGCATCTCACCCAGACCCATTCTCCTATAACCCACCTAAGTTACACATCCCTGAACATTACAGGCAATTTAGCATAGCCAATCCACCTAACCTGCACATTTTTGGACTGTGGGAGGAAACCCACACAGACACAGGGAGAACGTGCAAACTCCACACAGACAGTAGCTCAAGGGTGGGATTGAAACCCAGGTCCCTGGCAGGTGAGGCAGCAGTGCTAACCACTGAGACACCGTAAATACAAGAAGCTTGACATCACATTATTTAAAGGAGAGACTGAGATGACAGTCATGTTAAGGTGGTACTGTGCCACGAGCTAGTGAGGCAAGGAATAGAAAAATAGGACAGATGAATGCATGGCTAATCTCTGGATTACTACCCTAGAGGTCCTGCTTTCCAGCCTCTTTCTTAGCTCCCTGTACTCATTCCACAGGACCTCATCTCTCTTTTACCTATGTTATCAGTACCAAAGTTCATCAAAGTGGTAAGTTACAGTTGTTTTATTGAGTCAATGTGTACTATCTCAGACAGCACCTTTCAAACCTACCTACCATCCAGAAGGACAATGCCAGCAGATAAATGGGAACAACATTGCTATATGATAGAGTTTAAAAAATCTTGAAGACACAGAAAACTGCTTGGTATATTGAAGTAAGAATCTAAGTGTGGGATGAGCTTAAAGCAGCATCAGCATACTGCAAGACCAAAAACACTTAACACGAATAAAACCAGCATTAAGATACTGCAGAATTAAAAAACTTTCAAGTAAGAAGAATAAATAATCACTTTAGGAAGAAATGACAGTAGAAACAGTACTGTCTGGCAGATTTTAACATTATACATTAGCCAAATAGAACTCAGGATAAGATAATTTGGAGAAATCAGGAATAACCACACAAAGAAATCCTCAGAGGAAAATAACAAAAGGCAGATGAGATTAGTTTATAATTGCATCATGGTTGGCACAAACATGGTTGGCCAAAGGGCCTGTTCTTGTGCTTTACGTTTTACAACTCATCACCAGAGAAGAATAAAATCTATTCAGTTTTTAAGGTACAAAAATGAAAGCCAAATATGACACACCAATACAAAAGCAGGACTGACAGCGGAGTCAGTAACAGTGTTTGTAGAACATGGAGGCCTCACAGGAACAAATGGTGCCCAGATTATTAATAAAAGATGTTATTTCAATGGATGTGTAAATGTAGGCAGTTACAGCAACAGAGCAGCAAAATGTCAAATGTTACTCACACAAAGATATTCATCTAATACAGCATGAGATGATGCCTAATGCATTCCTCAGGAAAGTTGGCATTCCAACCAACTTGAGTTAGACAGAATCTGTTTATGTCAATTAACACTCCGTTAAATTTAAGCTTGATACAAGGTTAAGTGTCATTGTCTTATTAGATCATTTCAAGTAGAGAAACAGAAATTAGATTGAACTGTGTCCAGGTGAAACAACTCTTGAGATTAAATATATTCCATAAGCAACTCTGCAACACAAGGGGTATATGATAGTCGAGAAACTCTAAGTAATTCATAATGAAGAAACCTTACTCTTGAAAATGCATGTACATTTTGACCTCAACCTTCATAAAGTAGCAGAAGGAGTTTAACTAGTTACAAAGAAGTGAACAGGTTAAGAAGGACCAATTATGCCAAGTCTATCAAAAGACAAGTCAGTCAGAGTGCAACTGGCTCAGAACTAAACAGTTGGTGAACTCCTTGAACCAGTCAAGGAGTAACTGTAAAACATATCAGTGGGCTTTCTAGACTTATGCTGGAATCTAAAAAGAAGAAAGAATCTCTTGAGATTAGCCCAATGGCAGAAGAAATATGTTTCATACCACTAAAGAACCAGTGGGCAGCAAGTCAAAATAGGCTCAAGCAAATTTGGCAAGTGTATGCTACCATTCACTGGCAGTGCATTGAAGGACAGCCAGATGAAAAGTCCATCAAACTGGCCAAGAACACGTATTTTGAGCACTGATAGCAGTTCACAATCATAAATGATTTACTAGTGTATGACAGCAGACTAAATATTCCAGCATCCCTTTGGGAAGATTTCCTATAAAGGATACATTGGGAACGCTTGGGGCTTATTCAGTGGTGTGCTGGCCGGAGACCTCAGGAAGGACTGAAGATCTCATAACTCATTGTGAAATCCGTGATTATAAGGTATTGCCAGGAGTGGGGAACACTTCCATCAACAGTGAAGAAAATTCAGATGACATAAACCAGAATATTTTT